TATATATATATATATATATATATATATATATATATATATATATATATATTTATTAGCGAAAAAGCAATCGACGATGCACGTTTGATACCTACACGAATATCCAGAACGGGCTGAACGGTTCAGCCACTGCCAAGAATTTTTACGAAGCTCAGCATTCGTAGTCGATAATGATGAAGACACTTTTGCAATTAAAAATATTGAACGTTCGATCGTTTACATCGAGTGTTCAACATTTATCAACCGACTACGAATACGGAGTTAACGTTAATTCGCGATCAGAGCAAGGATCAGAAGAGAGCCGACGCGAGCTAGAGATATGTCCGATTGTCGAGAGACTTCTTGAGAGAAAGTTGAAGATACGAATAACGATTGAACTACATAAAACTTAAATCTCATTGATACTGTCAAAATGTTAATTTTATCTTTGTGAATCGTCTCTCTCTCTTTCTCTCTCCCATTCACAATGGGTCTTTCGTACAAACGGCAGTTAGTAGTTAATATAGTGCGACTGAAGTTAACGAAAAATAATCAAATAAAATATAAATGAAAAAGAATGTAGTATTCCAATATAAAAAAAAAAAAAGAATAAAACGTTAACTAAAACAGTCAAGCACTGAGAAAAGAAAAGAAAGAGAAACCACAAATGAAAATAAAAAAGAAAAATAAATAAATAAACGAAAAGAACGGAAGAGTTTAAAAAAAAACAACTAAAAAACAGAAAAATCGTGGGCGTCTCTTGTCCTCCTCTCTCTCTGTGTTTTCTGTAGGTCGACAAACCTAAACGCGTGCGGCGAGTCAGCCTCGTCGCTGATCCGTTGTAGCCCGTTGAATCCGCAACTACCACCACCACCACCACAACCTCTTCATCAACCACCACTTCCTACGCAAGTAACCACCCCCGCCACTGCCACCTCGGAGCCGGTCCACGAGCAGGCCCCCCCGAATCGTGATCGTGACCATCACGCGCTCCACCTCGATAATCCAGATTACGACAGCGTATTTATCATAGAGAGGCGGAACAGTAAGCCTAATCTCCGCTAACAACACAGAAAATAATACCAAGTACTCACCGTCACAACTACTACTACTACTACTACTACTACAGCTACTACTACTGCTACTATTACTACTACTATTACCACTACTACTACTACGTAACCCGAGACCACGGTTGCTCCCGAGAAAGATACTCCGCCGACGGTATATATGTCTCTGTATTTGTGTGTGTTTGAAACACGCCGTGCCGAGCGGTCCATCGATCGATCGATCAGATCGATCGGATCGACCAAATTGCCATCGATCCTTGTCGGTCGATCGAATGAGCAAGCGCCACTTTGCCGGTGGGACATGTCCGTTACTACCACTACTACCACCGCAACTTCTACTACTATTACTATTACTATTACTACTACTAATACTACTACTACTGCTACTACTGCTACTACTACTACTACTACTACTTCTACTACTACTACTACTACTACTACTACTACTACTAACTACCATCATCTACCACTTTTATCACTACCACTACTATTATTACCGCTAATATGCGAGACTACAGCTCTGCAATGTTACCTGCTAGGACCTACTAATCTACCATTACCACCTACTATCAACTACTTAGGATGATTGTCATGACTGTAGATGAGATCAGCAATACAGGCAAAACAGCTAGGAGTCACACTAGTAATATCCAGTCAGTACCCTAATTACCTTCGTTCGGCGGCCTTAGGGAGTACATAGATAAGAGACGAGGCAAGGCAGTTATAATCCTTTTCGATCTTCGTACGATCATTCATACTTCTTGAAATATTATTATTGTATTTCATTAATGTATAACGTTTTCTTATTGATGCTTATAATCCTTTGAATTTTTTATTAATGACAATTCACAGTCTATCTATCTCTATCTCTCTTTATATCTTTATCTCTCTCTATATATATATGTGTATATATCTCTCTTACTCTCTCTCTCTCTCTCTCTCTTTCTCCCTTTTATTAATCGAGAAAAATTATTGGAGAGTAGAAGAAGACTGGCTCGTGTTGTTTCTCTCTTCTCGCTCTTCTTCTCTTTGACTGCTCTTGTTTATTTGATCATAATCGCGAAACAGGAAGTTCTTTATCACGATCCCACCATCACCATTCTATATTCATATCTATCTATCTATCTCTTTTTATCACATACATGAGGACAAATACACACATATATACACCATAGTACACTTAATCCTTTCACCAAATTCATTCGTCATCTTTTGATTAGTGATCTTCTCACCCAACGTGTTTATTATTGATAACAATTTTTTTATTTTTTTTATATACGGACACTTCGATTTAGATATTTTCGGTAAATTCGATGGTGTTTGAATATTTATTTTAAAATTATATTATTTTTCTTAATTGAAATCAATTTTAATGAAATTTCGTCTAAAAAGGCCATCGAATTTTCCGATAACGAGCACTAATTTTAGCTGATAACTTTCTTATTGTTATAGCTAAATTTCGTAGCTGCATCCACTTTTGGTTGTCACATTTAACACAATTAATGGGAATACGACGAGTTACTGGTAAACGAAAAGCTTTTTGGTTTTTCTTTTAAATTGCCAGTAATCCTCGTTATGATTAACAGAAAATGCAGGTGTTGATTTCGAGAATTGTCTTGTAATGTTAAATGATTTCTTTTTTTTTTTTTGTGCGACCTTGACAATGTTAATACAGCAATACAGCATCATAGGGTATATCTATTAAAAAACTTATCACTTTTTTTTTTTTTTTTTTTTTTGGTGAAAAAGATCTATGCAAAAGGGAAACAATATCTGCAGTTTCCAATTAGTTTCAAACTTGATCACTATCTTAAGATCATTACATATCTTTTTTTTTTTCTTCACATTCGTCATTAATTTATTTCCACGTCGCTGTAGTATTATTCATTCATAATCGTTATTTTTGTGAATCTATTTCTCTCTCTCTCTCTCTCTCTCTCTCTCTCTCTCTCTCT